TCCTTGCCAGTGATTGGCTTAGGCACAACAAAGTGACCCAATTCTGGCCAATGAGAGCTGAGGCAACATTGGGGAAGGGGAGCTTTCCTAAGAAATGTAGGCATAGAAAGAGACACCTGTCTCCTGACTACTTTGGAACTCAGGCGCTGTAGTTCTGGGTGCTGAAGTATCTTGTCACCAGCACGAAGATAAAGCCAACCCACGAGGGACAGCACAGTCAGGAGGAGAAAAACTGCAAAAGGGAGCCAGAGCCCCAACCACATCCTGCCTCTGACCTACTTGTCAAGGAGAAAATATATTTCCCTACATCCTAACTCATTTTGAGTCAAGGTTTTCTGTTACTCAAATGGCAAGATCCTTCTGGTCCATCATATCCACCTTGCAAACGCAGTGGTTATTATACAACAGGGCTCTTATCACATCCCTTCCTGACTCCACCCACCAATAACCAGTTTTAGCAGTTAGGATAAAGGCCTTGTTCAATGTCTCCTGTCCCTCAAGAACACCTACACCCTCCTAGACAGATGTCAGCCCCAGAGAACAGGATCCTGGGTCTTCATCACTGGTCCCTGGTGCTGAGCAGAGAGTAACTGCCACAAAGCAGGTATGTAGAAATACTGTGGAATAAACGCAAAGAGCAAGGAGCTACAGGGCAAAGCCCTACACTCCACTCAGGCTTTGCACTAATTTGCGTGGGGACATTAGGCAAGTCACTCCCCTTTCTGGACCTTAATATCCAAAACTGTAAGAAGGCATATTGGACTAGAGCAGTTGCTGAAGAATGGGATTGAAAATATCTCTCAGCTACTCTGGACAGTATTTGCACTTTTGGTTAATCCACTAATGGCTTAAAAACAAAATCCACTGCGAAGTTTTGAAATATGGGCACTTAACAATCACAGCAGCATCAACAACCATTCAAAATACATTAATACTTGTGTGTGTGTGAGACACATTGTGCATCCTTTTTACAGACAGCCCTGGGTGCCACGTGGTTTCCAGATGTCTGGCTTTCTCTAAGGGGCCCGTCGGTTGGGATTCACTGACCTAGATCATCTCAGGTTTCTTCAGGCTCAAGGAGCTGATGTATCTAATAATGGCCACAGGAGTTGTACAACTTGCCCAAGATCACACGACAAATGAGTGTGGGTTCCAGTGCACTCTCCTCAACCAGGGCTCCCTTGGCTCAGCCAGCCTGGCTGACAGCGCCTCTCCCCCACAGCCTCCCTGGAATAAGAAGCAGGGAGCCCCAAGAGCCTGAGATTGCCTGCAGTGCAGGCAGAGGTAGGTGGCAGAATGCAGTATGCTGACAGCCCCAAATGACACGGAACATACTTCAGATGCAGTTATGTGGTTTAGGAGCGGCTGGAATTACACCCTCAGGGCTGAGCCACCATTGTCTGAGCCTGGGCCCTGCTAAGGCAAGGACCGCACGGTGGGGGTCTCTGCTCTGGGCCTCAGAGCTGAGCAGAGAGGCAGCAAGGACAGGAGGCAGATTCCTAGCTGGAAATCGGGCACAGGCTCCTTTTGTCTTTCCAGACACATCTGGGCATTTGTTAGCTTGTTCGTTCATTCATTAATTTATTCATCTATTCATTCAGCAAGGTAGTCAGTCACTCAAGAGATGCTCAGAAGTGTGCAGCTCTGCAGCCTGGCATAGGACCCAAGGATGAACTAACTGGGCACAGAGGGAGGCAAACCAGAGCATGTGCTGAAATGAAATCTCTCTGGGTACCGTTGGGCCAGAGGGGCCAGCGGGCCTTTTGCCTGGGGAAGGAGAAAGAAAGGAGAAATTGGAAAATGTTTTCTAAAGAATGAAGTGGTTATTTTCTGTGAGCAGTTCTCAAAGGAAGGGGGAGCACACCAACAGGTCAGGGGAGACTGGAGCTCCTGGCAGAGGGGCGGTGGGAGAAGGGTGAATACCTTCTCTGCATCTAATCAGGGAAACCCTCAGGGTTATTTTTGTTCACTTGTTTGACACTGTGGAGGTACAATCTTTCAGAGGGACAGATGGACTTCTTGTTACTGTAGATCTTAGGAGAGCGAGGGGCTGGTAGGAAAAACAGATGAGATTGTATTTGTATGGGAAGCTGGCAAAGTGGGTTGTGCTTATTTGGGTTAGCAAAGGCTCAGAGTTGGGGAGGACCTGGCCTTTGGCTAAAAGTAGCTCCTTATAGACCCTGTGTGTTTCAGGGTAGCGGGGTACATGGAGGTGGTGAGAAATGAGGCAGGAGGGCCTGCAGGTCAGGTCGCGTGGCGCCTACCAGCCCTGTTAATGACTTGGTCTGACTCCTGAGATAATGGGGAGCCACTGAAGGTGTTTAAGTAGCTGCTGAGTAGAGGAGGAATCAGAGGGGGAGGCCACAAGCCCAGCCAGGTGGTGGCTGCAATTGGCTGTGTGAGTTTAGATATTGGTCCGAATAAGGACCGAGACAGGGAACATGAGAAGAGAATGGTTTTGAGAGAAATTTCTGAGAACTGACAGGTCTTGGTGACTGGAGGTGGTCAGAGAGAGAGAAAGGAGTAGAGAACGATGATCAGTTCTTAACTTGTGACAAACTCGATGTTTAAGCCCTTCTCTGAGATGGATGGCTAGAGGTTCTCTCTCTGTTCTGTCTGGAGTGAATGGGAACGAAGGGTCTAGGGCAGTGGTCGGCAAACTCATTAGTAACTGAGCCAAATATCAACAGTACAACGATTGAAATTTCTTTTGAGAGCCAAATTTTTTAAACTTAAACTATATAGGTAGGTACATTGTTATTATCTTAATTAGGGTACTCCTAAACTGGCCTTTGCTAAAAACGTCCTCAATCTGATTGAGGTACGTTCGCTGAGGTCGACCCCTTCCAACTCTCCCATCCACACTTGTCTTGTATATAGTGGGGCCTTGACTTACGAGTGTCCTGACTAATGAGTTTTTTGAGATACCAGCTCTCTCCTCTGACTTTTTGCATTGAGTTGATAGAGTAATTTGAGTTAACGAGCTCCTTGATGAGCTCGGTCTTGGAACGAATTAAACTCGTAAGTCAAGGCCCCACTGTACTTGTTTTGCCCAGGCCGAAAACCGACCTCTGCGCATGGGCCACGAAGTTTCAATCGCACTGTATGTGTGCGCCCACACGTGGTATTTTGTGGAAGAACCACGCTCAAGGGGCCAAAGAGCCGCATGTGGCTCGCGAGACGCGGTTTGCCGACCACTGGTCTAGTGTGCCCCCAGACCAGAGCTTCGATTCACACCTCATCACATGCTCAGTCTCCCCTCTGCTCCCTGAGCCTCCAGCCTCTTCCCTGTCTGTCCTATGCGCTGCCACACTGATCTGAACAAGTGATGTGATCGTCTCATTCCCCTGCTGAAGAGCTTTCAAAGTCTCCCTGTTGTCTCTAGAAAGATCTGAGCTCCTTGGGCTGGTAAATAAAGTCAGCTACAAACTGCTGTGGGGGTAAGAGGGAGAGGTCCTGCAGTAGCCCTCTGGGTGCCTGGGTGGCAGGGGGTGGGGTGGGGGTGTCTCTGAGATTTCTTTTGTTTCCTGAGCCCCTTCTGCAGCTGTTGGGCTATGGATAAGTGGACGTTGTGATGGGGGCTTTTAGAAATAAATGACTATGGAGCAGTCTCAAACTAGAGGTGTCTGAGGAATGTTCCAGAAAGCCTTATGGGGTCTGGCAACAGCTTAGGCTGGCCCCTTGGGCCCTTGTTGGGTTAACATAGCTCTTTCTCCCAGCACTCTGGAGGGGAAATCAGAGGGCCTTCCTAGAGGGGCTGCAAATCTCAGGGTAAAGACCTGAACACCTAAGCCCCTTCTCCCGGACAGTGGTTGGGAGGCTCTGGCTCCCACCCTCTGCTCTTTGCCTTGAAGAGCATCTTGGCTGTGCTGCCTCTGTTGAGGTGGGGTTGGGGCAGGGAGCCTTGGGGGCTAATTCTAACAGCTTTGCACACAATGGGAATTTCCACTCCTATCTAGGGAGCCATCAATGCTGTGTGCCCTGACCTGGGCCTTTGGCCTCCAAAGGGCAGTGGGAAGGCCAGCCCCAGGGCCAATCCCTGGCCATTAATCCCTCCTGCCAGTCCGAATATTCACCCAGCATGGTCAGACAAAGGACTGCCCAGCCCAGCCACTGTGTTCCTCCCGCCCCAGGGGCTCCACTCAGACACTGGGCCGCCTGGAATCCAGACCCATGAGAAAGAGGCTGCCTTCACTGGCCATCTTATGCCCGGATGCTCAGCCACATCCCATCCGGACCAGGGCCTGTGAAAAGAGGGCCCAGCCACGCTGAAAATACGGATTAGCCCTTGGGCTACCCCGACACTGGCCCAATGGAGGGGGCCATGCAGGCACAGAGAACTGATGAAGTCTGGGTTCTCACCCCTTTGGCCCAGCTCCCTGCCCCCACCCTCCCCAGGATTAGCGCAGTCAACTGCACATTCAGTACCATTTATTGAACATATACTATGTCCCCCAGGCTCTGCGCATGAATCAGAAATTGAGAGTACAAGACATTGCAGTTTGCATTGGGAGGTAATAAGAGCCATCCCTCTCCCACATTTGGAGCTGTGAGACAGAGGCTGTGGTAGGGAGCTTCAGATGGGACTGGATTCAGACCTAGGCAAGGTGGGAAAGATGGCAGCTCTTGGTCTACTCCTGAGTCTAACTGCCTCATTATGCTACACCTGGTTGAAAAACCCAGGCTCTGCAATGACTTCTCTGGCTCTGCCTCTCTCCTTCCCCTCCTGGCTTAATTCTGGATCTCCTGTAGCCAAGTGCCAGTGTGGGCCAGGCCCTTCCTTACACGGTCTCATTTAAACCTCATAATAATGCTGAGGGTTGGTTATTGTCCCGCCTGAGGTTCAAATGAGCAACTGGCCCAGGTCACTCAGCTCCGGGAGCAGGATCCCATTGCTGCAGTTGCGTGCCTGCCTTCTTTGGCGAGCTGTTTGTGTGACAGCACTGCCTTGTGTTTTGTACGGCCTGTGCTCGGGCAGTAGAATGCCAGGGGGAGAGGGCATGAGGTGAGACCCATTCATGTATAAACCGGTTGACTCTTCATTGCTGTGGGGTGGGCGATTGTCTTCTACAGCCCCCGCTGCCCCCTGCACCCACCTCTCTCAGCCGAAACTGGTGTCTCTCCACCAGACTGCGAGTCTCTTCATCTCTGTCCTCCCTGAGTGCTGGCAAAGGGCCTGGCACACGTGCTCAGTGAATGATGTGGCTAAGCTGAGGCAGGAGAAATGAAGGAGGGGTGGACTTGGAATCCATGTGGAATTGACAGGACTTGCAGATTGCTTGGGTGTGGGAGTGATAGGGGAGGGTAAGAGCCCAAAGTGATGTCTGCATTTCTGATCTGGGTGGTGAGGGGAAAGGGGCCCATTTGCGGAATCGGGAATACAGGAAGGGGAGCAGGTGGGGGGTACGCTAGGTTGAGAGTGATGTGCAGTGAACACTTTGGAATATGCTGACCTAGGCATATTTTGCAGCTAAAGTTGTGAGGGCTGGAAGAACTCTGTAGTAAATTATTTCTGTAGTCCCAGCTTTAAAATACGATGTTCTCAGAAGTCATGGTGCTGGCGCTCTGAACTCTTGGGTCTAATTCCAGCTCTGCTGCTAGCTGTGTGAAGTCAGGTCAGTCACTCAGCCTCTCAGAGCCTTAGTTTCCTCATCTGCATAACAGGAATGGCTGCCTATAGCACAAGGCGTTCACACTTACGTGAGCATTTTGTAAGTTTGCCACTTACAAAATGCTCAGTTATGATGGCTGTTATATTATCAGCTGAGACTGGAATTGAGAGGTGGGCCCTTAAGTCTTATTGTGGATTTTGAAGCCCTGGCCTATAGGCCTGCTGTACCCAGGGGCATTCCACATCAGGGCCAAAACTGGGGTGAGGCATGCAGGGGCCCACATTTAAGGAGCCCTGGTTCACAAGTACTGACCCTGCACTTGCACCACCCTGAGAGTGAGTGCCCCCTTAAATGGAGGCCTTGGGAATGCCACTTGCCTGTCCTACCCCCAGCCCTGCTCCCATGATCTTGCCTGTACCCAAGACAGCCTTTTAAGACAAAGCTCCTCTACACTTTGGTTTCCCCAAGCCCAGGCTGGCTCTCCTGTCACTTTAGAAAGGTTTCCTGAACTAGGCTCAGGGTAGCATCACCTCTGGATGGTGATGGTGGGTGACACTTCCCAGAGTGAGAATTTATTAAAAACTGCTAAGACCCCTGCCTGCCCCTCCTCCCCAGCCCCACTGAGATGTGAGTGTAGCATTTCTGTGTCAGTCCCCAGCTCTTTCAGACCTCCAATCTGTGGAAGCACTTGGGGGGTCTCTCTCTGGCCGGTACCTGTCCCTTGGAACTCTGGCCTGTGTTCTGTGCATCTTCCCAGTGGGCCGACTGCGTGTGTGCTCGTGTGCGCGCGCGTGCGTGTGCAAGGGAGCCCCTTTTCTAGAGCAGAAGGGACACGGAGAAGGGGAAGCCAGAAGGGCAACTCCAAGTTAAGGATTCTCAGGGCTCTTGATTTAAAGCCGTCTTCTGCTCCTTTTCAAAGGATGCTCACAAGTGTCCTGGATGGGACAGGGTTGCGGGGGAGGCAGGAGAGAGAGGTGATGGTGTCCGTGGAGGCCCTGAGGCAAAGCCAACCTCCCGGCTCTGTGCTTCCCCATTGCCTCTTGTCTGAGGTGGGCCTGACACTTCCCTGACCAACACAGGTTAGGATGCAGAAGGCTGGCCGGGAGGCCCTGGTGGCTCTCATCTCTGCCCCAGGTGGGAGGCAGGACTCAGCTGGGAGAACCTGGGGAGGGGCCCCAGCGATTGGGTGGATTTTTGATTAGCATTGACCTTTAAGGGAGGAGGTTGAGGGAGATCTTAGAGGAAAGGAAGCTGATGAATTCGGTTGGACTGACTCCATGGAGATGGGAAAGGGATGAGGCTGGGTCTGGAAAAGGCTGACCCGAAGGGAGGAGACCAAGGGAGGGGCAAAATGTAGGGCTGGGGACTGGGAGCATGGTAAGGGGACCGGGAAAGCTAAGTAGGGGGAGGCGCTGGCCAGGGGGGAAGGTCCGAGCCTCCTGCCTAGATGGGGGCGGGGGAGGGGCGCTGTGTCATATAAGGCGGGTCGGTGGCCCCTCTGCGGCCTCCCGAGGACTGGGCGCAGCGACATGGAGCCCCCCGCCTCCTTTCTGGGCTTCCCGGCCCTGCCCTCGGTCGCACCGTCGGGGCCGCCGCCGTCGCCGCTCGCCGGAGCCGAGCCCGGGCCGGAGCCCGAGGGGGCGCCCGCGGGCCGCGGGGAGCCGGAGCCCGCACCGGGCCCGGGCCGGCGGCGGCGGCGGCCCCTGCAGCGCGGGAAGCCGCCCTACTCGTACATCGCGCTCATCGCCATGGCGCTGGCGCACGCCCCGGGCCGCCGCCTCCCGCTGGCCGCCATCTACCGCTTCATCACCGAGCGCTTCGCCTTCTACCGCGACAGCCCGCGCAAGTGGCAGAACAGCATCCGCCACAACCTCACGCTCAACGACTGCTTCGTCAAGGTGCCCCGCGAGCCGGGCAACCCGGGCAAAGGCAACTACTGGACGCTGGACCCGGCGGCCGCCCACATGTTCGACAACGGCAGCTTCCTGCGGCGCCGCAAGCGCTTCAAGCGCGCGGAGCTGCCCGCGCCCCCGCCGCCCGCGCCGCCCGGCCTCTACGCGCCCTTCCCGCCCGGCCCCGGGCCCGCGCCGCCCGCGCGCCTCTTCGGCGTGGACAGCCTGGGGAGCCTGCCGCCCGAGCTGGCGGGGCTCGGCGCCCCGGAGCCGCCCTGTTGCGCCGCGCCCGACGCCGCCTTCCCGCCCTGCGCCGCCGCCTTCCCGCCGCTCTACGCGCCCGAGCGCCCGGGGCTGCCCCCGCGCCCCGCCGAGCCGCTGCTGGCCTTGGCCGGGCCGCCGGGAGCGCTGGGCCCGGGGGAGGCCTACCTGAGGCCGCCGGGCTACTTGCCGGGCCTGGAGCGCTACCTGTGAGCTCTTCCCCGCAGGCAGGGGCCGCGTGGAGACCCCCTTTCCCCCAGGACTGGGGCGCTGAGCTCCCCAACTTTGCCTCTTGGATTGAGCACACCTGTTACCTCTTTCCATGGGGAGAATCCCACCGTCTCTCCTCCGGATTGAACCCTCCCTACCTACCCCACTATGTGAGCCCCTCGTTTCTTCTCCTCTCCGTCCCCCACCCCGTGAGCCCCCACCTGTGCGCTTGCCCGGTGCCCGTGCCCTTGTTGATCCCCTTTCCCCGCGCCCAGTCACCACCCATGAGCCCCCACGCCAGGTTTCCCGTGAAGACCACGCCTTCGGAAGCCAGGGTTTCCATCTCAAGCCGCCTCCCTGACGGACTCCTTACTTCTTCAACCTCCCCTGGAGTTCTTACAACACATTAGAGACCAGACTCCCGGGTTCTCTTCCCTTCATCTCCCACAAGTTCGAGCCCCGACCCACTTCCCTGTCTGTCCTCAGTTTCTTACACACACACCTGGCTGCGCTGTTCCAGGTCTCAGGACAGTTCTTGATTTCTCAGACCAGCGGCACCACGGGCTCCCGAGGGAAAGGGGACTTAGTGGGCTCCCCACCATCTGGAAGATTTAGGGTTGGCTCATTAGGTTATTATTATTATTTTTTAATTAAAACTGATTTGATTAAAAAGAAAGAAGAAAGCTTTCTCTGGGCTTGGTGTGCTGGCTGGTGACTCGGGGGAGTGGCCTGGGGAGAGTGTGGGGCTTTGTTCAGGATCTTTGGTTGTTCATATATAGGGTGAGCCCCTGGTGAAGCATCAGGCAGCAGTTCATGCGGTAGGGTTAGGATGTGATTAACCATAGATGTGCACATAGTAGGCCTAGTAAATGCCATCACCTGCTGCGTCCCAGAGGCTGGTGGAGATGAGATGGGTGTGCACATGAATGTATTTGGCCAGGGGGTTCGTGCTGTTGTGATTGCTCCCAGCTCCCATGGATAAGGGAGCATTGGCCACTCCTCCAAGTATGTACTTACTGAATGTGCCAAGTACTGCCCTAGGCTTTGGGAATCACTACATCACTAAACAAATGGGCAAGATCCGTGCATCATGGTGCTTAGGGACCACTGGGGAAGAGACATTACCAATCACTCCTCAGAGAAATGAGGTAAGTGTTCTATAGCCTTGGACTCAAAGTGCAGTCCCCGGACCTTCGCCAGCTACTGGGATAAAATGCATCACCTTGTTAGGAATGCAGAATCTCAGGCTCCACTTCAGATCCACTGAGTCATCAGATTCTGCACAGTATTCTGGAGAAAAGACACTGGGCCAAGGCTGGAGGCTCAGTTTTAAAAGCTCCCTATTTCAAGAGCGGGACCAGGCTGCAGAACCACAACCTCCTCCACACCTCTGGAGCTGGGCCCTGCGCCATCAGCTATGCCCCTTGTCTTACTATATCCTTTGCTAAATTGGGAGCTGGAGCAACAGGGACCTGAACTGATTCAGGACTGTCCCAGCACCAAGGACAGGGCAGCACTGAGCAGAGACTCAGAGGTTGCTGCATGAGTTGGCCTTTGACCCTGTCCTACTCTTCCGTGCTGACCCAAATGCTAAGCACCAGGCATTCCCAAGCTCCTCTGCCCCAGGGCTCCCAGTTTAGTAGGGTCTAGATTAGGTGTGGGAAAAGGTGGGAAGGGATCAGTGTGCCTTGAGTCCAGGGTGAATGTGATTTGCATGTTGCACAAGCCTGATGCACCTCTTTTAGAGACAAGAGTTTAAACCTCTGGGGTGGTGATGCAGGGTGAGGGTGGAAAGTGGGCAGCTCACGGAGGAGAAAGGTGCAGGAAATATGAGGTAGGGAAGACAGTCTTTAGAGATAGGACAGTAGGTCTGCACAGTCTGGTATGAAACACCCTGGTTAGACTCCCTGCCCAGCTATTAACCCCTTTGAGCAAGAGTCAGATCACATTTGCCTGATGCATAGCAGCTCTTCACTTAGTATTTGTTGAACGACTGGCCCACTGAATGAATCCCTAGTGTCTATTGTGCCTGACTTACTGAATAATGACTGGGTTGACAGTACTCTGGCACTTTCCATTCTCACCTGCAATCCTCACAGTGACCTTCAAAAGAGGTGAAGGTGAAGGCTACTTCCCCATTTGTCCAATGAAAAAATTGCCCCTCCCTGGGACCCAGCAGGTAGCAAAGATTCAACCTGGTTCTCTAAGGAATATAGCTCCACAAAGATCAAAATGCAAACGTTTTCTGCTCCAAATGTTGTTACAGCCTCTCCTCCTGCCTCAAAGTTCCTCTTGATAAATTCCTTCCAAATCCAAGAAGTTTCCAGGGAAGGAGACGTTCCTTCTCACTCTGCTGAAGCCAGGAAGTGCTTCTTGAGCTCTGAATTTCATTCTTGCCACCATGGCCCTGCAGGTCTCTGTCCCTGGGATCTTGGCACAGTGATGAGGAGGTGGGAAGTGTCTGCATGGAAATGCTAGAAAGATCACTGAACTGGAAAGTAAAAAAGATTTTATTTTGAAATGCCTCTTTAATGTTCTTCCATTCAACAGCATAGAGGGCTCACTCTGTGCCAGGCCCTGTGCTGGGCCCATACAGATACAAATATGAGACTGTTGATGCCATCGAAGTTCATTGTCTGGAAACCTATATGTCATAGAGTGCCCTAAGACTTTTGACACTTGGATAGATGTTGAAAACACAAAACAAAGTCTACTCCAATTCTGTCTTTACAAAGCACTAAACACTTTTTTCTTTTTTGAGTGAAAGTAAAGTTTTATTACAGAAAAGCTCCCTGCTGCAGGGAGGGGACCCAAGTGGATTGCAGCACTAAACACTTTTAATCTAGAAGCAAGATTTCAATATGGAAGTCTTATTTTTCTCCCTCTCTCTCCTTTTTTTTTGGGGGGGGGGAAGGGGGGAGATAATCTGAGTGGACCTTGCAGAAACGTTAAGGGAATACCCCTTCATTTTTGTAGAAACCTGGATGTCATCTTTAATCTGAAGACACGGTTTTTAACACTTAATTCTTGTTTTTATTGAATTGAAACAAGCATATAATCTAACAGTCCCTAGAACCATCTACTTTCAGTTCATATGTCTCTTTTTTAATACACTTTTGTATTTCCATGCTTATACTAGTACTCCTATCTCACAACGGTAATGATTAACTTCCTGTTATGATAGATTGTCACTTACCTCTGAAATGTCTATCCCTTCTCATTCCCACCCAAATCACCAACTTTTGGTTAAAATAATAATTCACATATTATTACTATATAAATATTGTTCTCTGATAGCTGCTCGTGTACCATGACTACAATTCCTTTTGGAGGGAGAGTACAACTTTTCATTTTTCCTGGAGTTCAGTGCCTTATTTTTTCATTTACTTACCTTTCTTTGTACCCATAGCCAAATCTCCCCTAATTTCCACGAGGTCAAACTTACCAGGAAATCTGTCATTGCTTTGGGTTGTTGTGTTTTTTGTTCCTGGGGGCACCTCTCCCCTGGCCCTCTGTCCTCCAGCTCCAGCCTGGGCTGATGGCTCTCCATGTCTGCTGCACAGATGTGGACCTGCTTCCCTTCACTGTTTTCCTTGGAATTCCCTCCATCTCTATCCTGAGTTGGATTCTCTGCTTCTTGAATTCCATATCTTCCTTTTTGCTGGTCTCTTTGTTTCAGTCAAGGTCAGTTTGGGGGGAAATTTTGCACATCTGAAATTAAGATGATTATTTTAGCGTGAGAAGCTAAGTGTGCACTTTGACAATGAAATGGTCGAGTTAAAGCTGTGTTTTTGTAGCCTTATATTCTTTGGGAGTGGGGACTGAGGAAGAGGAGAATGGGAAGTTGTTTCTGGGTTCAGTGTGCACTAACTCCTAGGAAGATGAGAAAGTGGCTCAGTGTTATGGAAATGAGGGGTACATGTTTTGGTTAGAGGATGAAGGCAGGGGAATGGTTCTGAGTTCTTCATAGGAGTAAGTGAGCAGAGGGGGTTGCTTTCTGATTTGGGGGGACTTGGAGCACAGGAAGGATGAGTTTTGGCCCAGGATGGTGCGGTCAGAGGGCCTGCTGGAGAAAGACCAAGACCACCCTACACATGGACAACTGAGGACATAGGGAAGTGACCTCCTTGGCAGGGACATGGGAAGCATAACAGCTGAGAGGCTCCTTCAGGCCATGGGGTTCACCTGGAAGGCAGAAGGCAAAACAAGCAATGTGGACTCTTTACCAAAGTGCGTGGGTCGGTTCTAAGCCCATGTGAAATACCCCTTTGGGAGATCTTAGAAGTATGAGGTGGGGGCGGAGGACAATTTAGCAAGATACAGGGGCTAAAGTAGTCTCCTTTTAAAAGAAAAAAATTCTGGTGACCTCAGGTATTGACTTTAACTTTAAAAAATTATAATGCCATTTAGTATGGGCAGATATAAAATCCTTAGACTTTTATCTCTTAAACTATCTAATAATAGACAAACATGGTAATTGACCATATCTTTGCTACGCTTCCCATTGGCTAATCAGGGCGATATGCAAATTAACTGCCAACAAAGATGGCGGTTAATTTGCATACGTAGGCGCAATGCTGGGAGGCGAGAGAGGAAGGACGGAAGAAGCTGCCTGCCGCTGACGGTGATCAGAAACTCAGGCGGCAGGCAAGAGCCAGGTGGCAGGGCAAAGGTGGCCCTGGGGGCCGACTTTGCCTGCCCACCTGGCCGGTGATCAGAGAAGACGGGGAGGGGCAGGGAAGAGACAGCCACCAGCAGCTGCCTCTTCCCTGCCCCCCCACCCCCACCCCCGGCTGGTGTTCGAAGAAGTACCTGTATTTTTTTTTTTTTCAAACTACCTGTATTTTTAATATTTTCTTGACATGGTAAAAGAATTTTACATTACAATCCAAGGGTGGTGGGGTGAGGAGAAGGAGCAGCAGAACAATCCAAGAAACAAAAAGGGAAACAGAAATGCATGGTGGAAGGGATTTGAAGGGTGGATAGGGGCATTGCCCAACTAAAATGCGATTGGTTTGTTACTGAGTACTATTCATGGGAAGACAGCATCCTGATTCCTTCTCTATACAGCATATTGGGAGTAAAAATGATGCATCCAGGTGGAAATATGATTAGGGGTTGGAAGACAGACAAGGAAAGAAGAAGTCAGAGATAGGCACTGAGAGAGTCACTGGCTGGCTAGCTGCAAATACGGACTCTCCAGTAGTGATAGAATAAAAAAGTGGGGGATATCTCTGGAAAATTCAAGAGATAAGGGGAAACTCTTCTATGGTTTTGACTTGCCCAGCAGATTTCCACATACACACGTGTACACGCCTATGTTTGCATGCACACACATATACACATAACTGACTGCCCTCCCTGGAAGCACAGAAGAAGAAGAAGCTGCCAGAAGAAGAAGTCTCCCATGTCTAGTCCAGGTGCCAGCGCCTGCGGCTGGCTGCAGCCCAGGAGACGGACAAGCCACCTGTCCGAGGTCCCAGGCTGCAGCCACCCGGAGAAGCTGCCAGCCCTGTGGTCCAGAGCGCCAGCGCCTGTGTCCAGGGAAATAGGTTCCCTCTTCTCCTACTGCAGTCATTACTTCAATATTCCCCTTCTGAATTTCTCTCCTGTGCTGCAACCCAACTCCACTTTTCATCGGAAGGATATTGAACAGAGAGAGCAGTGTTAAAAGCTTATATTTTTAAGCCGGTAGGGTTTGTACTTAAACATATAAATGGAAAACTAGAGTCCTTAAGGTAACAAAGGCTACAAAGGACAGGGACAGCACATGACCTATTATATCCAGCAATCCAGATGGGGACTGAAAACTTTGCAATGATGACAATTAGTGAAGATATGAATCAACTAAAATAGTTGACAGGGACA